TTCTTTATCGATTTCAATTATTATATAAAATATCAATTATTTTGATCTTTTGCAGTTGATCTTTGAAGAGGATGAAAATGCGTTGGTGATAATGAGTGACGAAGGAAATTTTCAATTGAATGGCACTGTAAACAAGCAGAACCTTCGTTACTAGGCTTCTGAGAACCCACGTCACATTCATCAAGTAACCTCTCCACTCACAGAGCGCCACAGTGTGCGGCTGCCCCTTCTGGCGTCATAGGGCTTTTTTTTTTAAGAAAACTGCGTCGCGATCACAGTTACCGCACCTCGTTACATTGACATGGTCCGTAACTTCTTTCAACCAGAACTGCGGAGACGAGTAACATGAGAAACATTTGGTTCCAGCAGGATGGAGCCACTGCACACACTGCGAAAGAAACAATGAACATTCTTCGGAAAATGTTTGCTGGGCGCGTCATTTCCGGTGTCGGCGATGTGCCTTGGCCCCCAGGTCTCCTGATTTATAGGCTTGCGATTTTTTCCTGTGGGGGGTACCTCAAGAGCCGTGTCTACATCCATAAGCCCCGCTCTTTAACTGAGTTGAAGGATGTCATCCATGGAGAAATGCAGTTGACAGATCGAGAGATGTTGGTCCGAGCTTTTAATGACTTCAAGCAGAGGATTGAAAATTGCATTCAGGAGGATGGGCGTCATCTGCAGGACGTTATTTTTCACAACTAAACTAGGTACATAAAATGGCAAATCTTGACCTGTAATTTTCTGTTAATAAATTCGCTTTAAGTTGAAAATGGGCTGAGTACGGTTCGTCTGAAAAAAGTCCTATTCCCGGGACTATAATACAAATTAAGGGTATATGTTTGAGGTGATTGGGGGTATGTGATTGAAATAGATTAATCAAGGGACTGTAAGAACATTCTTGAGAGCTTACGAAAAATTCGAAATCCAAGATGTAGAGGAAGGCAGGATGTAAAAACTAATTTTTAAGGATCTAAAATGAAGAGATGGAAGCAGGAGGCCAGGTAACAGAAAAGAATGGACATCATAATAGAGGCCGATATTCCTAGGGAAACTCAGGTCCAAGGAGTAAGAGTATTATAATTTAAAATTTTAATGAGGCTTAAATATGTTTCACTGCACTGGGAGGGAAAGGATAATTTCAATGGTACTAGATTCTATAACATTAGGAGTAAGAAGGCTTAATTATGTCGCAGGAACCAAGCCCTCTGTTATTTCAGGTTGTCAAAATACATAAGACAGCAAGCAATCTGAACTTATTGCTCGCTGTCACTGTAGTGCATTAACCATGAACTCTTAAACATGCCATAGAATACTTTATTAGTACTGGGTATGGTTACAGAGTAAAGCCACACGCAGCTATAAAATTGATAACCCTTCGACAGTTTAAAAGTGTAAATAAGACTTTGGATTTGTTTCATTCTGGTCCTCACACTAACACTGTGTAAACAAAGCGTTAGTGAGCAATACTCACTAATTGAGAGGAAGATGAAGGCTATTAATATTTGGAATTATGGCCAGATCAAAGGACTGGGAGTACAAAGCACATTCCTTTGAGCCAACTCCTAGTTTAGTTTGAATATAAACCCTCTCCTCAGGGTCAGAAGGACTTTTTGTAACTGGTATATTCGACTGTACGTTGGTTTCTTAATAAGAATCTCACTTCGATTGGGCTTCGCTACACTCCGCATCACCTGCAATTTCCAGGCACTCCGGTGAAACACATAGCTACCGGCGATCTCCACGTAAATCATTGGACATACTCTAAGAGAACAAAATTTGCTTATACGGGACGACATCACTGCATCGACCAGCTACCATTTCGTGTTGCACGTCATCCCATATAACAATTACATACCATGTGCATCTAATAATTTGAAAACTATTTCCTCTTAAGTAAATGGAACAACAGTATTAAATCAGCCAGTTTGATATGTTGTTGAATTTTTTACCCTTTGCTCAAGCCCCAGCCAGAACCCCCCGTCTACTGTCATATTCAAGCCCTTCTTGGTTATTTTAATTGGAATTGGTGTCTTTGGGACAACTTTTAGGTTGAAGCGGGACAACAGCTGTACCAATGCTATCTTGGCTTCCATAAGTGCAAATCGGCTCCCTGGAAAACAATGAGAAAAGATCATTAACAGGACTGAAGAGTAGGATTTTGGAATAAGTGCTGGGTGTTAACCATAAAGAAACAGGGTGACTGAAAGTAGTAAAAATGAAAATCTTGAGATGCTTACAGCTAACAAGGTGGAAATAGTTGACAGCAGCAATTCTGCTTTCCTTCAACTCTTCAGTCAATGTTGATTGCCCTTTATTTCAAAAGGTAACTTTCACAAAGGAACCTTAGTTCACCTCTGTCTCCGATGAAATTTCATACTCTAAGAGTCAGCATTGAATTCATTGTTCTTGAATAATCCTATCATTTGACACCATTACAAATATAAATAAAGGGATAAAATTAACAACATCAGTTGATGCAAATTATACAGTCTTGAGGCACCCAGTTCAAATCCCAAATACTATAACAGTTTACACAGCATTCCTCAGCCTGTCTAGATTATTCTATATATCTTGCATCTAATTCCGTACATCACTCAACATAGTCCTTGCACTGTTGCTAAGTAATCCATTATACACACGTGGAGAGAATGTTGCAGTATAATCATTAAATTCTTCGGCGTTCAGTGAGTGTGTGAATCCTGACCCAAAGACCAACAATTGTGATTGTGGGTTCTCATTTCTTGTCACAGGCAATGTTGGGATAGTACCTTAATGAGAGTGTAATGCCGTAGAATTTCGGCGTTGGTTTTGGTAACTTTTAGGTATTAAGTTATCTTGGGTTCACCATAACATAAGTTAGCCGAAGGGTTAATGTTTGAAGTGGAATGAGGAAGCCGCAGACTAGGTGGAAAATTATCACATAGCAGAGACCGCTGCTCCATGCGGAACAACCAGAGATGGCCAAGGCATACGGAGTGTCAACTCAGCGAGACGACCTGAGGGGATCCAACCCTCTTTATCCAGCTGACCAACGAGAGACGAACTTGGGGGAGAATTCGCTCTGGTGCAGGGGCAGAGCTTACCCTAAAAAGACAGGAGTCAGCAGGGAGAAAGTTATAAAGAAGTTGACACAACTGGAGGACACATCTTTGGGATCACTTCTTTTGATCACCGATTGAATATCCATTCAATCTGTCAATCTATCTGAGTGTATAATGTCAACTGAATAGCAAACCAGAGGCCGGAGGACCCGAGCCATGGTCGTGCCAGACCGAGGGGGCACCATCAGCTCTTACACCAAGTAAGTTGAACTGTTCATACCAGTCATGGATATCTAGTGTGATATTATTAAAGTGGCATGTGCAGGGTTAGGACAGAGAGGGAGTAGGCCTTGAGAGGGGGAACGTAGGATGGTGAACCCAAGAGTATCGTTATTCAAATTACAATGTGTACGTAACCGACGACTGTTGGCTACGAAAGTGCGATGTACATAAGTGTATATAGAGTAGACGAGCAGACCGAGTGAAGGGGATGTGCGGTGTTAATGACTTACCCCCACAGTGACACCCTCTAATTCCCTGTTCTCCCGTAACTCCCTGTGTTATCGGGACTGAGCACTCACAGCCAAGAGGTAGTTAGAGAAGCAATTACCAAGTGCTTAGCCTTGCAACTGGCCATTGCACAAGGGCACAAAAGCAGGGATGACGAAAGAGGTGGAAGAATCCTCCACGCCCCCTTCACGTCATACCAGATGGTGACAGCTGTGGATACCTCCACGCCCCCTGTCACCACGGTGTAACGGAGAGAATATTTAAGAATTCAGTTCTTACCTCACAGGAAACACAATTCACCTTCATTAGAAAGAACAACTGGTAAATGGTCTTCACGGAAAAAATATCTGTTTATGCTGAGAATCATGCGAACATATAAATACGGTCTGTGGACAGAATGGGGTGACTTTTAATATTAAACAGGCGGTGTAGTTACCGGTGTGCTTTAATGACTTAAACTAACACTCATCCATTTGCTTTTACGCATGTTTCCATTCATCATTCATGGAGATATATATATAAATGAATTCAATTGATTAGGTGTTATTAAAAAGGACATTGAAGTAGGTCCTGATTTACACAAACCGCTGTTAGAATGCGCAAACTCAAGGTTGTGGCTTGTATTCAATATATTTCCGGTTCTAATCTCTGTAGGAACACTGATTATTTGTGGTTTTCATAGCACTTCTTAGTAAATTCCGGGGCAATAAAGTTGTTGCTTTGTTTAATTAAACACCACGTCATGAAGATGTATGGAGGAGCGGAGACGAGACTCCACACAGATTTAAACTCTGCACTATATGTAGGTAAGTAACAAGATCCGCGCTCTGGGCATTTGATTCATGGAAAACAGATCCCGGCACCCAATGAATCAGCTGCAGATTGGGAGCCACAGCCGGTCTCAACGCTGTGGCAAAAGCTATCTTTGCTGCTGTCAGGAACCGGAACCCTATTTTACCGTCGTTCAATCTGTAGCATCATTGCTATATGGACTGAGCTGTACGTGAAAATTAAACTTGAATTGAAACTTATTACTGTAAGACGAAATAATGATTTACACAGTGAGATACGTCGGCTGACTGAACTGTGTCTGTATATAAGTCTTTATTAAAATATGTGTGTTATTGTGACGAATGTAACGTTTAATATCCTTTTTCCCAATTATTTATTTCTGATGTCATGACGAGCACCATCAAATTAATTCCCAGGATTTAAAACAGAATATGACCATCTCCTGTTCATGTTCGGGTACTACTACAATAGATGTCAAATCACTTAAAGAGGGCAGAGCTCTGTGGTGGTAACTTGCATTTGGTGCAGTGGCCGCCCGTGTTTAATTCCATGTGCTTTCCGTCTAATTGTGGGAAGCTATGGTGGGTCTATAGTCTAAGCATAAGCAAATTCCAGCAAATTAGGAAACAGAGCTCCCGCAGTAGCACGTCGGTGCACTACCAGAACAACTGTGTCTCAAACTTTGAGGTTATGTCATCATTAGCCATTTTCAGGGTACAATCCGAACTAATACCGACATGTCGGAGATACCATACGTACACAGAACTCTTCCTCCGTAAGGTTGCCGGCTCAAGGTATGTCTTGAACTCATATTTTAAACAGACAGTAAGCATTACTTACCAATACAGTTCCTAGGGCCTGATCCAAATGGCAGATATGTGCAGGTTTTGATGTTTCCTTTATTCTCATCACTAAACCTTTCAGGGTCAAATTTCTCAGGATCGGGAAAGTAGTCTGGGTCATGGTGGAGGGCATAGATGGGTATGTAGACACAGTCTCCAGGATTCAGGGTGCATTGTGGTTCAGCCGGCAGTGTATATTGTTTGACACACCTCCTGTCTACCAACACTGCAGGAGGATAAAGACGGAGAGTTTCTGTAACATAAATAACGAGTGATAAAACGATTATCGCTTGACAGAAGATCAGACAGTGAAACAGGATAAGTCATTAGCGTTTTGAATTCTGTTTTTATGGAATAGAAATATTCTATACTCAACAAAGTTATTAATTTAGTACAAATTATATTAACATTTGGAGCTGAAACATGGCTTATTAAACGGAAGGACAGACACAATTTATTAGTAACAGAAATGGGTTATTTAAGGGGTTCAGAAGGATATCACGAATGCATAGAATCAGAACAAAAATGGGGCAGGAAGAAAACACATTAGAGGAAATAGAATAGGAGCAATTAAGACGACACGGTAACGCAATGTGAGTGGAGAAAGGGCAGAATTGCTGAACAGTTTGCAGGATGGAACTCAGGGGATAAGGAGGCGCGCCAGGTCAGTCAGCACATGGAAGGATGGAAGTAGGAACAAGAAAAGTAGGAACTCAAGGATGAGGAATGTTTCGATTGAGAGCTCTGGAGGGAAAAAATATGTATTCACACAATAATTCCTTTGATGGTGATGATGTTGCTGATGATAGTAGCAGTAATAATAATAATAATTCAATTCAATTCAATTCTTTATTATTTATGTGCTGAGCCAACAGCCGTAAGGCCAATTATAGACTCAGCACAGTGTATGATAGAAGTAGTTACATACTGGACAAACACAATATAAAGTCAAACAATGATTAAAGGTTAATGTTGGAGGAAAACAAATTAATACATA